ACTTCTGTGTCAGAAGACAACTCTTCTACTTACTCTAAATGTTCCCACAACCATCATCAGCCCTAAGAACCCCTGTACTGAATTCTCCCTCTCAGTCCAAATCCACTGTGGGTTCATCTGTATTCCAGGAGAACTTTGTTTTCTTTTTCTTCCCTTCCCTCAATCCTTTTAATCCTCCAGTTCAAGCAATTAGCTCTACAAATATTAGCTGCAATCAAGGTCTAACACATGTGGTAATTTTCTCTCTAATAAATCAATCAATTCTTTCCATGGAGTGTTTTTTTCCCTTACAGTCATTAGAAAATTACAATGCTACTTGAGGATCACCAGCAACTTGAATTAGTCAAGGAACGTCAATCAAATTTGCCAGATTTTGCTTTAAAGATGAGAAAAAATGGGGTAGATTTACAAAGCCCTCTTGTCTTAGAATAGGAAGCTTGATAGACCCTTGTTAAATGTCTTTTAGAGAGGCCTTGGAGTATAATGATGCGTTTGGAGGAAAATCAAAATCAGTACTACCAGTGACAAATCAGACAAAATATAGAACCTCTCATTAAATAATCTAAAAATTAATAATTAGAATAATCAGCCATACAGTATCCCTGGGCAATGCAATATTCCGTAATAGTTAACATGTTAGCACAGCAAAGAAAAAAGACAATCTAACAAATGGTCAAATTTTGGTTCTATAACTTTTTTTTTCTTTAAATAGGAATTAAAGGAGTCAAACTGTGTTTCTCAGAGCTGTCTTTTGCATTGTGGGTAGGACTCTCTAGGAAGTAGGGAAGGGGGAAGCCCAGTGACAGCTCCTTGACCATCCACGCTTCCAGTATAGCAGCTCAATTTTTGTCTTATTTCACACAAGAGTTCTGTTGAGGCAACAGTTTTTCTGCTTAAAAATGACTTGAGAATCACCTGTGTAGCCCAGACCACTCTTCATAAATATGTCAAATTTATGCTAGAGAAGGAATTTTTCTTTTCCTGAGACGAAGTGTCACTCTGTTGCCCAAGATCTCATCTCACTGCAACCTCCAGCCCCTGGGTTCAAGTGATTCTCCTGCCTCAGTGTCCCTAGTAGCTGGGACTGCAGGCACACGCCACCATGCCCAGCTAATATTTTTGTATTTTTAGTAGAGACGGGGTTTCACTATGTTGGCCAGGCTGGTCTTGAACTCCTGACCTCGTGATCTGCCCACATCGGCCTCCCAAAATGCTGGGATTACAGGCGTGAGCCACCACAACTGGCCAGGAATTCTTAGTGACAGAGCAGGAAACAGATCCTGTACAGGATCTTCCCATGCCATGCCATACTGTCTCTTATACTTGAGGAACAAATCAGGTGAGAATTTGCATGCCTTTGGAATGGTGCTTCCTTTTTTTTTTCTTTTGTTTTCAAATGGTTACAAGGAAAAATTGATGCAGCCAAGTTAGTATGAGAAGAGGCACAAATGCAACACTGGAAGAGTCTGCAATTGTGCTCCTTTCTCTACAAACTTTGTAGTCACTGTGAAGAATTATATCATTATCCAGCATCTGAAAGGGGTCACAGGAGGGGGAGGCCTAGTTCCATTTTCTTATGTCACCAAATGTATTCCTATTAAGATTGAGAGAAGTAAAGATTTCAGCAGGATACTTGGTGAAAACTTGCTGACATTAATGACTCAAATTCTCAGAGAGACTGCAAGGAAAATGGTGTCATCACTGTCATTCAAGACATTTAAGATGAAATTTCAAAAGAAGGCTGTCAAGCATAATGACTGCCAGGTTCCATTATATCATTCTCAGCGGGTGGATCACACACACTACTACGCAGCCTGTGGGTGGCTGATGCTGAAGTTTGAAAGGAGGCTGCCTGGAGAAGAGGCAGGGGTGGGGCTGCCTCACATGAACAGGATACAGCACCATTGATATTCACATGGTGATTTGGAGGTAAATCTATGAATCAGGGCCTGGTCTTTAGTTAGGGAAAAGCTGAAACCTAGTGCTGGAAAAAATGTAGGAAAGTTTGAGCTGTAAATGATAGTGCCAATTTATTAATTTGCTACGAGCATACTCCTCTCCAGCAACCCAGATGCTCACGTCTGTGTGCATTCCAGCACTGAGATACCTGCAAAGCCTAGCTTGTAATCAGAAGGTAGCTATGTGGGAAGGAGGTAAGGGCAGTGGCTTCCGACCTTGGCTGCACGGTGCAATCACCTGGGGTGATTCGACGCTAAGGCTATACTCTAAAATCAGATAAATCTGAATCTCAGGGATGAGGACACAGACATCAGTACTTTTGAAATCTTCTCAAGTGATTTTAATGAGCAGCAAAACTGAGAACCACTGTGTCAGAGCAAAGGGTGAGGGTTTAGGCCTCAAAGGGTGAGCCTCACCCTTTCTACTCAGGAATCTTGTATGTCATAGACCAGTGGGTTTGGTTTGGTTTTGTTTTAAATCAGGAGCAGACATAGGTTTGTCAGTTTCTAAATGTGTCAAATAAAATCATTAAAAATTCAACTACCATTATCTCATTAAAGAAAGAAAATTTTTACAATAAAAATTAGGAAGGGCCTAATTTCAGGATATAACTCAATGTTTTATTTATTTTTCTCATGTCTCTACAGACAAGTGAACATATCACTACAGGCTGATGCAAACTTAAGAACTGATGTGATCTAATTGCTCTCTACATCCATAATCAAGGCTTTCCTCCTTGGACAGCTTTGGATACATTTGGCTGAGTTTGGGTTAATTAAACCACTGTCCTTTGCTAACTATCCTTCTTGCCATATCCTTTATGTAGCGGTTAACAGTATTCAGTTGTAGGTAATTTATTTGCCCAGGCTTTAGAAATGTTCTGTCTCTTCCAATTACAGAATACATTGATTTAGTAAGCTCCATTCTGCTTAGACTCTTTCTTTTCTGAGTCTCGCTTTGTCACCAGGCTGCAGTACAGTAGCGTGACCTCAGTTCACTGCAACCTCTACCTTCCAGGTTCAAGAGATTCTCCTGCCTCAGCCACCCGAGTAGCTGGGACTACAGGTGTGCACCACCACGATTGGCTAATTTTTGTATTTTTAGTAGAGACAGGGATTCACCATGTTAGCCAGAATGGTCTCAATCTCTTGATCTCGTGATCCACCCGCCTCAGCCTCCCAAAGTGCTGGGATTGCAGGCGTGAGTCACCTCGCCTGGCTTAGATATCTTAAACTAAGTTTTCTAGGGTGACCGTGGCACATGTATGCCCAGATACCCACTTGTTTTGCTAGTGGACCATGATAGCAATTATTCTAAATCCCATGGAGAATTCACTGGAGGGCTAAACTGTGATGAGTTACTTATTCTGTGTCAAGTTACACAAAATAAAAAGACTTACTAATATTTTAAACTTTGAGTGCGTCTTTGGAATCTTCTATATGCCCAGTTCTTCTGTGGCCATGTTTTACATTGGCCCTCTCCTCTGCTGAAGGTACACTGCCATTCTAGAATGAGTTCTATACTTAGTTGTCTGTCCTTAATGAGACTGGCTGTTGCGACTCCTAGGAGAGGAGAGCAGTGAGAAGTTTGCCAGGACTCCAAGTCTGCACCTCCAGGTTCCCTTCAAAGTGTGCATAACACAGAGACTCATTTATGCTGAAAATGGCGTGAAGTAGGTCTTCACTTACTGATGTCCTCTAAGCTGTCATGCTTAAAGGTGGATCAGAAGAATAGAAGCTAGCATAAACATGTGCTTTTGGCCAACTGCAAAGGTTTTATTTACAGATGTCCTTGTTCTTCAAACACTCAAGATGTGTAACTAATAATGGGCTGGCCTGTTACTCCCAGACCAACCCGACCCAAACTGAAGTGTTCGCCATCTTCCTAGAACATCAACCTCAGAAGTAGAAGACCTGGATTTGAATTCCAGCTCCACTATTCTCTTCAGCAAGATGCTTAAACTCTCTGAGCCTCAATTTCCTCATATGTAAGATAGGAGTAACTTATTCTTCTTATTCTTTCTTCCCTCCTCCTCCTTCTTCTCCTCATCCCTCCTCTTCTATTACTATTTTTCTTCTTCTTCCTCTCTCTCTTCTTTATTCCTCCTCCACCTCCTCTTCATAACTTTATGATAATTATGATAATTACATAAGATAATTTAGGTAGAATACTTCACAAGTTGCCAAACATATTAAGTTCTTACTAAACATTAACTTTGTAGGTCAGAGCTCAGGACAATAACATGGCATATAATAAACACTCACTAGACACACACACACAGAGAGAGAGAGAGAGAGAGTCCTGTGTCTGTAGAAGGAGGAATTTCATTGGAAATGCAGAGTTAAAAAGCTGTTACTGAATTCTGAACTTTAGTTTCCAGGTCTTGACCATTTAACGAAACCTACCTGCTACTTAATCTTTGCTCATAACTGCCTCTTATCTCCCTAATGGATTACCATTGCTGACACGTGTGCATTTTTATGATGAATCCACAGAGTCACCTATCTGACCACAATCCCTCCTTCCATCAATATGCCCTTATCTTTACAGATCTTCGTATTCTTTGGACCCAGAAACACATTCCCTTGCTGTTATCCTAAAGCAGCTAAATTTGTTAAAGGAAAGCATTTAGAAATCTAGATATTTGCTCCTGCATTTCCATATGTCTGTATGCCAAGAAAAATTTGAATCAAATTCTCTATTGGTACATCTGATATAAACCCATGGATCTGGGAGAAATTAAGTTGGAAGGATAAGGACCCATCGTTGGTCTAAAGCACTTAATATTCTTGTAGGATCCAATTCTGTTTAATATTTTTATTCTACTATAATAAAAAATTTTTGACATCAATTATCAGTACATGTACATATGTTCTCCCTACCTCTGCTAAAGATCCTTCCCCTACCACCAGAAACAGTAACAAACAACAAAAATAAAAACATCAATAAATGAACTTCTCAAGTTGCTGAAAATTTACTATCAGATTCAAGCCTGTTTCAGAAAGTTTCATCTCACCCAATCAGACAAAAGGCTGAGGAAGGGAAACATTTATCAAGTTACACTGAGGACTCCATCTGTTATCTTAGACCGTTGTTACCAAGTGACACAGAGCAGATACTTGAAGGCAGTTTGAAAGAATTTTGTTTTATAGATTCTTAGTCCAAAGATTTCCAATTAGGGAGAAGCAGCAGCAGAAAAGGAGAAAAACCAAGTACGAGTGATGAAGAGACATTCATCTACTGACATTTAACCTGGTGAGAACTGTCGATGGTGAAGTTGCCTTTTCAGCTGGGATCTGTCCATTCAGCTTCTGTAATAAATGCAGTCACAGGGGCAGTCCCTTCCCATTGCTCACAAAGGTCTTGTGTTTAAACCTCGCCCTCACAGAGGCTGTTTCTCATCATGCCAAGCCAACAGAAGAAAATCATTTTTTGCATGGCTGGAGTGTTAAGCTTTGCATGTGCCCTCGGAGTTGTGACAGCCTTGGGGACACCGTTGTGGATCAAAGCCACTGTCCTCTGCAAAACGGGAGCTCTGCTCGTCAATGCCTCAAGGCAGGAGCTGGACAAGTTTATGGGTGAAATGCAGTACGGGCTTTTCCACGGAGAGGGCGTGAGGCAGTGTGGGTTAGGAGCAAGGCCCTTTCGGTTCTCATGTGAGTAGCAATTGCATGTGAATTATTTAATACTTTAGGCAGACTCTTCCAGGTATTGCGAGGAATTATATTTAAGAGTTTTGGCCTGTTTACTGCAGAACTTTTTAAACTGGTGTGAACCATGTGAAAAACCTAAAGCTCTGAGCAATTTCTTCTTCCTAATTTTTATTATTTGTTTTCATTACTTTATACTTGCTTTTTATTATAACAGAGTTCATTGTTACATAATTAAGGTGTTTGGAAAGATTAGCAATTAAGATTCTTAAGTGTTAATATTTATGTAAGAAATTATGGAGTTTTTAAAAAGTGAACTTGGGTAAGTAAGAAAGCTGTAAAAAATGATCTTTATGCCTTTTGTTCTTTAAAAAAGAGACACGGTCCTGGGCGCCTTACTTAACCCTACCTCCTTTGCCACCTTTTTCATGATTTCATTTCCTGCTCCCCACTTCCTTCCATTATTCCTGCTAAGATCTTTGCTGCTGCTAAATATTCAGTTTTCATTTTTAACCAATTTGGAATCATTTGGCTGTAGAAATTTAAAATGATCTTCTGTGCTAACTGGGAAAGAAATAGATGCCTATTTAGTATAGAAAATTTTAAACAGATTGACCTGCAAGTCATGCAGAGAATGAGAGAGATTTTCTTGTCGTGATTTTTGTGAAATGGAAGTGTTAACCACAGTATTTATAACCTGTTTATCTTAAGAAGAGAATTTTTTTTAAATTACCATGTGAATAGGCAGCTCATTAAATGAAAATTAATAAGAAGTCATTTGTTATATCTCCTACAACACACATTCAGAAGTTATTATTATTTCGGAAGGGCTGGTTTGGAACAATCTAAGAAGACACAGTAAATTACTGCATAAATCACTCTTCAGGAAAGGAGGTTACCAATTGAAGCATTTAAAATGAATTATTATTTTGCACAGGTTTTTTCCCCTTCTAGTATAGGTAGAAGGCTAAATTAATTGAATTTATTATTAACAGATGCAGTGCCTAATTAAATTTCAGTGCTGGTCTATTTATATTTCTGTAACATTCCTTCTATCTTCTCAGCAGTCATTGGACACCAATCTTCAGCTCACATAGGTTACTAAGTGATATGAATTTTCATAGGGCTCCAGAAAATTTCCAAGAATTAGTCGTCAGCTTTTTAATTGATGAAGTGGATACCAGTTCTTTTCACTGAATGGCTTTTATTCATTAAGGTAATGGGGCTGTTAGAGTTGCTTAGTTTTCCTGGGGAAGGGGGAGAAAGGAAACAGAGTGTCATGTGATATGCAACTGTATTAAACAACCAAAAAGGAAAAAAGATGAGAGATGATTTAACCATGAGTCACCGGCAGCCAAAGCGTGAGTAAAGCTTCTCACAAATGAATTTAGACAAAAGCACAGAGGGTACTGTCGAATTTTCTGGAGCCTTTACATTATCTACAGTGAAATGAAGATAAACATAGGATATGTTTCAAAACAATAATAAGACGTTTTCTGAACACTTACTACATCCTAAGCACTTTGTCTACTTTGTCTCATTTAATCCTCACACAGTCACATTCTTCTGGGGTTGAGTGAATGACTTTAGCGTTGTGTCCTATGTTGGTTCTGTCTAGGATAAAGTTGTTCTAATTGGGTGCCCCTCCCTTTGCTTGCTGTGAGGACTTACAGAACTGGTGGGGTTTAAACAGTACCCTCACTTATCTCACAGAATTGCATTAGTTCTCAGATATCCCTAGCCTTCTCCCCCAGCCTAGTGAAGAAAATCTTCCATTTACTTGTTTGTTCTGACAACTCCCTCTATATACAATAGACTATACATATTAAGTGTACAGTATATAATATACTATACATGTTAAAATCTCATTCATTTTGGTGAGGCCCACCAAAGAATACTTACAGTATAGCTTTCTTCCCTCTAAGCATAAAGGTATATTTTTCAATGCAGCATGAGAGAGAGTTGGGAAAATGAAAAAAAAAAAAATCCAATGGACTCCCCAAAGAGCATAATATTCATTTAAATAAACACCCCTCTCAGTGTTAAAACTTCCTAATCAATATGCCTTTGGGACACATTGCACCCTCAAAGTTTATGCTCCCATTGCAATGCAGCTTCACGGTTCACATTTTTTCCATTCAAAATGTCATTATTCTGTCAAGGATATTTCATCAACGTTTTCTTGGATGAGAATCCTCTGATGTTGTTCCTGATGGAAATGTGTAAGCCCTGTTCATATAAGTGAATAAAAGGTCAAACCTCATTTTCTTGGTAGTGGCTTCTTTGGAGCAAAAATTAAGGACCTCCAGAGAGCTCAGGAGGATGACTCTTCTGTTTCTTCCAGAGCTCAACTTATAATTAGTGCACAATTCATTTCCCAGAATGTCCACTTTCTTATTGTGCCTTTAGAAAGTTATTAAGCGAACACTTGAATTTGCAGAATCTTACCAGTGTAGGAGGAATGAAAAAGGTAACTGATTAAGCTAACAATCACTTCATGGCCAGTTTTCTTCATGTTGTCAGGTTATCACCAGTTAAAAGGTATGAATAATTCTGTTAGGTGGATAAACACTATTTTGCTTTCCTAAACTTTTCATTTAGATCAGCATTGCTCAATAAAAATATACTACAAGCCACAAATGCAAGTCACATATGTAATTCTAAATGTCATAGTAGCCACATTAGTAAACAAAAGTAAAAACAGATGAAATTAATGATATTTTTTAAAACCCAAGATACCCAAAGTATTATCATTTTAACATATAATCAATAAAAATTTATTGAGGCATTTTACATTCTTTTTCTTGATGCTGCCTTTGAAATCTAGAGTGTATTTTACATTTACATTATATCTAATTCAGTCCAGCCACATTTCATGTGCTTTTTTGTGGTTTCAAGGAGCAGAGAGTTTAATAGGCAAGAAAGAAAAGAGAAAGCAGAAGGAAGAGGCTCCCCCATACAGAGACAGAAGAAGAGGGGCTCCAAAGCTGAAAGAGGAGGTCCCCAAGTGCCGTGGACACCAGCCAGGTATATAGGCAGAGGCTGGAGGAGGCAATGTCTGATTTGCATAGGGTCATGTGCTCATTTTTATGGCTACTATATTGGTCAGTACAGATTTAGATGGAGATTTGCTCTGAACAAGTTGCCCATTATGGTGTTCATATTCTAAGTGAATTTTTCCTGAGTTCTGCTGTACAAGTCCATGTGTGTTATTTTCATGTACAATGCTTGTCATTTTTAAAACCCAGATATATGGCATAACATGAGAATAAAGAATGGACCAGAAAAATAGTTTGGCAATGTAGTCATGTTTGTTCCTATTAAATGTTCCCTATTGACCACTCTAGCTCTTTTAATTATAACAAGAATCTGCCCTGCCAGCATGCACAGTTATGCTGGGAAAACTTCTGCCTCATTTATTCTGGCTGATTCTCATCCACTTATGGGTCAGCGGTTCATTTTCTAGAGGTCACCAGCATTCATACCTAGCACACAATTTCATTCATTATAATGAAGGAATGTTTTCCTTTCAAAGAGACACAACTGGTGGGCTTAATTTTTCTTGATATGTCACCTGCAAAATTTTAATGATGATGTTTAAACTCTAAATGTAGCCGTCAAGACAAAACCCGCCAATTTTAAGTTCAGTGTGTGTGTGGGGGTTTCTGTTTTGGTGATTTGAAAGACTGCAGAATATCATCAAAATATGATACCCAAGAATCATATGGTATCAATCATTCCTAGATATACTGATCTATTCATTGCCAAGATAGTTCAATGAGCTGGTAAAAACATATGGAATTATTTTCTTAAAATGTGAAAAATAAAATTTAACCGATCATGTATCACAGCTTGCAACTTTAGTCATACTTTGAAAAGCATTTTAATTTGAACCTCATGATTGAAAATTCATAAAAAGCTGAACAGAAATTAGTTCATTTCATATTTTAGAAAAGCAGAATTTCTTTACTAAATGAAGCATTTGACACAGATTGTAGATAAATGTTGAAACTACTTCTGTGAGCAAGCAGGTGCCTTCTCAAACACATGTTGGGATGAAATAGTTGGGGCTCAGGGGCTTAGTGCCTGTCACTGAGAGTTGGTACTCTCTATCTCCATTATCCCCTCCAAGTGTGACTCTTGTCTCCTGCTGACATGACCTGCCCCTGCTCCTGAGTAGCTGGGATCACAGGCATGTGCCACCACACCTGGCTAACTTTTAAAAAAAATTTTTTTGAAGAGATGGGGTTGCCCAGGCAGGTCTCAGACTCCTGGGCTCAAGCAATCCTCCTGCATTGACCTCCCAAAGTGCTGGGATTACAGGCATGAGCCACTGTGCCTGGACTCTCCAAGGGTATTCTTTACGCAGAAGAGGAACTTGGCAGAAATTATCCTCCAATTGGTAAGGAATATGGGGAAATTGACTTTGAGGAAAAGGAACTTCTGGTTCTGCCTGCCTACTCTAGAAAAAGAATTATTATTTCTCCCTTCCCCTAATAACTATCTTTCCATATTCATATAAAAAACTGCAGAATCAAAATCGTTCAAGAAGTATAATTTTGCATGTATACACATGTGCACATGCACACCCATATACCTTCCTTCCCTTTAAATCATCCCACATCCTAATAGTAGTAAAATCATTGACCCGAGCCTACCTGGGAGAGGAAGAGGAGTCTGACGGGGCAGGTCCTAAGTGGCACTTCTGGAACTTTACCCTGGTGTACTAACTTTACCTATTGGAGGATGACTCCACAACTGCTCTCACAATTTGCTGCTCTGCTTTCTTTTCTAATTGCTGTAGGTGACTCATCTTCCTCAAGGACTTTCAGACTTCTCAGAAGAAAAAAATATGGGGTGAGTCTCTGCCACCCACAAAAGATTAGACCTTGAGAATGATAAAGGTCTATTAGTATACATCATTAATATTGAATTGCTTTTACCAATATTATGATATTGATAGAATGATATTGATAAAAGCAATATTCAAATAAATAGTATTTCAG